AAAAAAAAAAAAAAAAAAAAAAAAATAAATAAAAATTTATTGATTAGATAGATGCCAGAGTACCGAGCCCCATCCCCCCACATGCAGTTTATATAAACCCGGAAATTTGTTAGCTTTTGTTATAAGAAAGAGCTGCAGCGCCTTCACTGCTGGCCTCAGTTCTTGCTTTGTATACCCCCCTATTCTTCTATCTGTTGCTGCTGCTGCTGCTGCTGCTGCTGCTGCTGCTGATGCTGCTGGTGCTGCTGCTGGTGCTGGTGCTGATGCTGGTGCTGCTGCTGATGCTGCTGCTGGGGATGGGGAAGAGGGATCCAACGCCCCAGTACTATGCACGCCAGAACCCCCGCCTCCACCAGCAGCAGCAGCAGCAGCAGCAGCAGCAGCAGCAGCAGCAGCAGCAGCAGCAGCAGATGATGATGATGAGGAGGAGGAGACAGGGGGAGAATGTGAGCTGTCTACGCTAGCTATACGGAGAGCTAACTCAACAGCAGCAGCAGCAGCAAGAGAAGGCCGCAGCAAAGGATATTCAGGCGTTAAACAAAAACAATCTAATAAATAAGATACAAGCTCACCACTGCATGCAGCACCACGCAGCATATGCTGCTGCTGCTGCTGCTGCTGCTGCTGCTGCTGCTGCACCTGCTGCTGCTGCTGCCGTTGCTGCTGCTGCTGCGGCTGCCGTTGCTGCTGCAGCTGCTGCTGCTGCAGCTGCTGCTGCTGCTGGAGGTAGAAGCAAGCGAACTCAAGGGGTAGAGGAAGACAAAGACAGCCGTGAAGAGCAGCAAGGGTTTGCTGCTGCAGCTGAGCATAAGAAACCCCAAAAGCAGCAGGAATGGTTGAGTCTATAGAAAAAAATTTTTTTAGTTTATTTTCGATGGCGGTGCTGTTTGGTGCTTCGTGCTGCAGCGCCAGCAGCAGACAGAAAGCAGCACAGCATCTATATCCTTCTGCGTTTGTTTTTGTTTTATTTATTATATTTGTTTTATCTAATATACACACAGCCAGCTGTATAGACACCCGGGTTATGTCTCTCATACAAAAACCAAAACATTTTTGTATGTCTGCTGCGTAGCTCATTATTATATCTATTATTGCTGCTCGACGCCCTGCTGCTGCTGCTGCTGCTGCTGCTGCTGCTGTTGTTGCTGCTGTTTTTGTTGCTGGGTTAGAGGAGGAAGCAGCCTGCTGCTGCTGCTGCTGCTGCTGCTGCTGTTGCTGCTGTCTTTGCTGCTGGGATCGCATCCATAACAACTCCTCACGGAGACGATCACCAGCTAGCAGCAGATCCCAATGCATCCTGCTGCTGCTGCTGCTGCTGCTGCTGCTGCTGCTGCTGGTTGCTGCTGCTGCTGCTAAGAGCTCCTGATAGGACTCAAGTGCATGCAGCTGCTCGCACACTACAGCATCACCCCGCTGCAGCAGTATACACATCTCCTCCATCTCTCTCCTGCTGTTGCTGCTGCTGCTGCTGCTGCTGTTGCTGCTGCTGCTGCAGAGCTGCCTATCGTCTGCTGCTGGTCTGAGTCTTGTTGCAGCAGCAGGGGGCGGCTTGCATGCGTTGCTGTTGCTGCTGGTTGCTTCAGCTCCCCGAAATACTCTGCTGCTGCAGCAGCTACCTGCTGCTGCTGCTCCTCCTCCTCCTCCT